CTTTCCTCAAACACACGCGGCTGTGATATTGTTGTTATGGATGACTTTAATGGGAGCCATATTAGGGGAGGATTCTAGAACCAGTTGAAATGATGTGTCAATTGTGTCAAATGCAAACAATAATGTCACCGCCTCTGATGTTACAACCTCTCCTCTTACAAATTACGTTTGAATTAGGCTGTTTGGCCGAAAATGGACGTAATTTGAAAATTGAAAAAAATTGAAAAAAAATTTTGTATTTTTTCCCCAAAACAGCAAATTAATAGTTCTGTGGTGGGTTAAGAGGGCAGGAAGTTCTCATAAGGTTTCAAAATGTCATGAAAACCGTTAATTTAAAGTTTCCTCTCCTAACCTAACAAAGTACCACCACCCTCGTCACCACCACCACCCCCCTCGTCACCACCACCACCACCACCCTCGTCACCACCACCACCCTCGTCACCACCACCCCCCTCGTCACCACCACCCCCCTCGTCACCACCACCCCCCTCGTCACCACCACCACCCTCGTCTCCTCCGTTACTATTAATTAATAGTGACGTCAAAAGGCCATCACGCAACATCAACAATAAAAGGAAAGATAAATAAAATCTTTGACCTGAATAACACTAGAAAATGTCTGACTGTGTTATGTATAAACAAGACAGTAGGTTAGTGGCGATGGTAGTTACGATGATAATGGTGCTTGTAGTGGTGGTTATGGTGGTGGTGGTGCTTGTAGTGGTGGTTATGGTGGTGGTGCTTGTAGTGGTGGTTATGGTGGTGGTGCTTGCTATAAGGTGGTGGAGTTGGCTGTGATGTTATTAGTGAGAGCAGTGGGTACAAAGGTAGTAGTGTTGTGTATGGGAGTGATGGTAAAGGTTGTGCAAGACGTGCCGGATTAACGGGGTTGTGAACTGGTGATTACTGTGGGACTGGTGAGCGGCCGCTGCCAGTACTGCTCTAGCTCCTGGCGGCTGCCACCACTGCTCTAGCTCCTGGCTTCTGGCCGGACAGCGCGAGTAGAACGCCCGCTGTCTATGTTTACATAGACTATGTAGATATTTACCGAGTGGTGGGAATTATGTTGCAAGTGTTTAAGAAAGAAACAGACGATGTTGAGGAGAAAAGTAGTCGTCGTTGACAAGAGGTAGACTTGGTGAGTGGAAGTGGTAATTTTAGGGCAGGCGCGGAGTAGTTGTATTATTAGTTGAAAAGAGTAGTTCTCTGAGGAAGAAGGCTGACTGTGGACGTGAGGGGTGGGAATAGTGGAGGAGAGGAGGGGAGCCATGAGGGAGAGAATGGGGGAAGGAGGAAAGACCTTGATGGTGGAGAGAACATGGCCGTGTTGGTGAAAGAGAAGATATTAATGAGGATTGTGGACAACAAGAGTGGGTGTATTGATGAACCATAAGTGTGTCTTGATGTGGGCGAGGACTTAATACTCCTTGGAAGAGCTCTTAATGTTATGGGGAGGAGTTATGATGACCTGGGAGATAGGCATGATTAATGGTAGAAAATAGGAATGGGTCTTGTTAGAGGATGTGAATGGGGTCTTTATTGTGATAGTGAAGGAGTTGATCCTTATGGTGGAGAGGAGAGAGGGATTTGGTGAGTGGCAGAGTAGGAAGGTTTTGATGATAGTGAAAAAAGGTGATTCGTGAAGGAGCTGAGCTTCCAGACGTTACAGCTGGTGATGAGGACCGCTCGCCTTGACGATGTGGAGCTTCCATGGCTGGCGACCGAGAGCTTCCAGGTTCTCATGGCTGGCGGCAGAGAGCTTCCAGGTTCTCATGGCTGGCGGCAGAGAGCTTCCAGGTTCTCATGGCTGGCGGCAGAGAGCTTCCAGGTTCTCATGGCTGGCGGCAGAGAGCTTCCAGGTTCTCATGGCTGGCGGCAGAGAGCTTCCAGGTTCTCATGGCTGGCGGCAGAGCTTGTGATCATTGCTCACTGCTGGATATCCTGCTTTCCACGTCCTTCACTCCAAGATGACTGGATAGTCAGAAAACGACCCCGGCAGCTGCTCTTATTTGCTGTTATAATACTATTATATCTCCTAGACATACAAGTTTATCACTACAAAGCGTAGTAGATTCGATAGCTAGGCTATTGACTAAGCTGCCGGAAAAGATATATTATTATACGTATGTTATTTAATTATGTTTCTTTATGTAAATTTAGTGTGACTGAGGGTGCATTTTGAACAAACTTTGTGACACCTTTGAATGGACTCTTCATTGTCATTCGTTTGTAGCTACTCCACTTTTATTTTGCTAAGAATATACATTATGGTTTTGTCATATTTTAGTTTTTTTAATATATTTCGGATGGTATTTTCTGTCAATGGGATGACGCCTAGGATGTTAATATGATATTTTTGTGTTATTTCCTTTAAACGATGTCTCGGCAGTTACTCCGTTAATATTGCAAACGATATCTCGACAATTCCTCGGTTAATCTCAGTCGTAGACGATATCTCCAGTAGTTCCTTTCTCAATACCCGTGATATCGTGTACGCCGAGCCATGAAGTCGAGCGTTGATGTCATTGGGTGATATTATTACATTAACAATCAATACACGATGAATCGATGTTTCTGGCGGAGATCTTGGCAACACACTAAAGCTGATTCACGTTAGCCTATATTTGAAATGTGTGACTTGTCATTATGCGGTCTACTACATTATTTCAAGGTAAAGCTGCTCACATGTTTCAAATCTCGAATTTTTGTTTTGTCATAAAATTGTCATTGTCAAGGTAATACACACGAAAAACTTTCATCCATTTCGCTTTATATTTGAGTTTTCTCATGGTTTTTAATATAAGGGATCTCCAAAGGGTTATACCTTAGTTTTCACTTTTGTTTTCAAATTCAGTGTGTCCGTGTGATATCTGGAGAACAGATTTCGAATTTGTTGACCAACGGATTTGGTAAGGAGAGGAGGAGGTTGACGAGGTAGGAATGGAGGCGATAATGCAGGAAACGAAGGATGAGGATAGTGACAGTAGGATGCTTAAGTTTAGCGGCCCGTCCAGTACGGCGGTGTTGTGAAATGTTCCTTGTGTGAGAGTTGGTTTTGGGGTTTGTACCTTAGTCATAGGCATCTGGCGAGGCTGCTAGTGTTGGTTGTGGGGGATGCTGGCTTGCCGTAGGTGTTATTGCTATTTTATCATTGTTACTTTTAATCGTTTTTTTTATGTAAATAGAGGGAAGGCGATGGCATTCTTCAGCGTCGTCTGGTAGGTCACTCAGTATTATGGGTCTTGGAACATCAGGCTTGTGGATATATCAGAACTTTTTCTAGGAGATATTGGGGACGCCTTCGCGTATCTGCATATAAATATCTAAACTTATGTATGGTTGTGGATAGAAGATCTCTATTGCTATTAGTCTTGTAGAACGGTTCATTTAAAACAAATGAGCTTAGATGTTTACAAATTTTTTATGCATAATTCGGCCAAACGAATTATCAAGCTGAATGAAATTGACTGTAAATTCAATTTCAAAAATAAAACGGCCCATCCTCCTAAAATGATAGTACGTATAGCAACTATTTGGTCAAATGTGCCAATATGTAGCGCTGGACCCCTAAAAGTTTCCATTTTGTATTATTGAATTAGTCTAACTGGCGTTTTTAGGAAATTAGAAACGTAACTAAAGAACTTAACCTCTCCAAACATTCCTAGGCTTAATATACGATAGTTGAGGCTAAATATAATTCATATATGTACTTTACTAGGCCTAAGAATGTTTGTTTGGATTTTAGTTTTTTCGGCCTTGACAAAATTAATTATGCAAAACCTCTTGTTTTTTTTTATTAGGTATGCACAGCAATGTGCTGGTACCCTATTCTGTATGAAAGATTACACAGTGTAGATTAAACACTAGCTGTAAGTTCATCTGATATCCCCATTTCACAGGATGGTATCAGTGATTTCAGATCAAATGGTATGAGGTACTTTGAGCTCTGTAATTACTTCATACATTCAGGAATATGGGAAGATATTATTGGGCTGTACCCATATTTTGCTAGTGGAGTCTAATAGATCAATCAGCCTTACATTTCATGTTCTCTCCTAATTCCATGTATGACTAACCATCCTGTGAGATGGAGCACAAAACCTGAACTTTGTGAGGTCCAACAGTACATATTGGCAGATTCAACTAAATAGGTGTTACAAGTTATTTGGTCATGTGATTTCAGCCTATGCACGCAAAATGGTAACCAGAATTTGGATTAATGATTTTTAGTTTATTTGTATTTTCATTAAGATTTATTCCTTAGTGAATAAGATAAAATCTTATAATTTAGGATATCTCAAAAATTATTATTGAAACAGTGTTTCTTTGCTAGTTTCAGCATTTTTAGCTGGACTTTGAAGGCATTACTCAGGTAAATTAGAACACTATTATTGGAGGTTTCTGGTTGATTAGACTTGATGCATTATTAAGTCTATAAAGATTGAATGTTTTTACTATATTAAGGTCAAAATCATTCAATAATGCGGTGGGTCATAATTTTTGGCTTCCTGGCCCAAATGGTAAAGATGTGTTACTATTAGTACAAATGTGCGAGTGATTGATTATGTAAGTGTAGTTACAGGATGAGAACTGCACTCGTGCCCGTCATCCAAGTTCTCTGTCCTTTGACGCTTGGAAACTTCTGACGGTTTTGGCATCCATCACCTTCTCACTTAAACTATTCCAACCGTCTCAGTTTGCAAAAGAGACCTTTCTAATGTTTCTCCAACAGTCTTGTTTCCCTAGTTTGAACTTATGTCCTGTTCACTACACACAGATACACCTTGTGGATTTGTTCATTTGATATATCATGTTATTGTGATTTCTGTGTATCCTTGTGGATTTGTTCTTATGTCGTGTTCTTGAAGTTGCAGTTTCCAATAATTCTTATACTGTGTGTGTGTGTATGTAACTGTCTATTATAATATACGGTACAGTACGTTATTCACACAGAATTTTGGTTTAAAGTTTGTGTTCATTAATGACTTTGCAACTTTCAGACGGAGCAATGATCGCGAGGAAGCCCGAAGATCATGGGGCCCTGCAGACAAGGAAGAGGGCAACAGGGACTTTTGGGCCTCAATCCAGGAACCCTACGATTACATCATGGGTAGCAACCTCATTCCGGACTCATGCCAGGTAGCACAAGCAACTTCTTTAATAATGGATATATATTAAATTTAAATAATATACAGGATATCATCAGGGAGGAAGCCTATAGAATAAGGAGGCGCCCTCATGGTCACCTTTGATAGATGGTATTTCTGGAACATATACATTCCCAGGACAAACTTGTTCTTATGTATTAACAATCAATTTATCATAATGTAATTGCTTATGCACCATATATTTTAGATACACGTGAACACTCATTTTTTTTAATTACATTATTTATATAGGGAAACTTACTATAATTCCGTAGTCCTTGAATGAGGTGAAAGAACAACCCATTACAGTAAATAAGTAAAAACCAAACTTGTGGATGTATCCTACATTCTGCAGTTGAAAATGCAGAATAGAACCATTAAGGAGTAGAGGTGCCATAGACACAGAGAGCACTGAACATCAGAGGTCCATGGCTGTTAAACACCTACCTGTATCAGGAAGCATTAGAAATATTGCAAGGTGAATGTATTAAAGAGCCACATGGACAGGTTCTTGCAAGAAGTACCAGACCATCCAGACTGTGGTGGATATATGGGCCTGCGGGCCAGGCCGCTCCAAGAAACAGCCTGTTGGACCAAGTTATCACAAGTCGAGCCTGGCCTCAGGCTGTGCTCGAGGAGTAGAAGAACTCCCGAACTCCCAAACTCCCGTTGGTGCTCTTTTCTCTTCTCCTCGCTTTGTGGTGGCCCCTTCGGTTCCGAATTGTTTTCCGAGGCTCATTTCTTGTTGGCCTCTGGGGGTCAGGTTGGAGGGCTTCATGCCCTCCTCCGGCGCCTCGATTTCGGCTCTTTTGGTTCTCCTGATAGGTCTGTTCGCTTGCAGCCATCTCCTTTTCTGGCGAAGACTGGCACAGCTGCTTTCTGGAGGGGTTCTTGGGTTGTTTGATGCTTGGTTGGTCTGGCCGGGGGTGCATCGTGCGTTGTTTGGTTGCGGCACTGTGCTGTGCTTAGCGTGCCACGGCTGCCGTGACTGGGGTCACGCTTTGGGTTGTTTCGAGTTCCCCTCTTCCATGTTCCAGGGTGTGGTTCTCTCGGGTCGTCCGTGGGGTGGTTTGGTCCTGCCAGCCTGCTGTCTGTCCCAGTGCACACGTCGTTCGTTGGTTGGCTCTGTGTTCCTTCATTGATGTTCCTGGGCCTTGTTGGGCCTGTGTGGCCTTGGGTTGGCAGTTGCAGTTTTTCTCCACTTCGCGTTGGGGGTGTGTGCATCTTCCGCCTCCAGGATTAGGTCCCTCTTGTTTTCATCTTTGGGTAGGTAGCTCCAGGGAGCCAATGGGGCTTCCCCCAGAAAACTAGCGTTGAATGTAATGAAACGCCATTTTCTGCAACCCCCTTACCCTGGTCGGTGGTTTTTTGCATGTTTTGATGTCCAGCCTCAGAATTGAGAGGTGGATTGCTGGCATGAGGATCTGGGGCTCCCCGTTCCCACTACCGGGGAGGGGGAAGCTGCGCACACAATGGCCCAGTGACGTGTAACATCATACTCGTTTGCCCGTTTCTGTTTGGGGAGTTCTATCCACTTGTTCGGCTTTTCGTTGCAGTTTTCACCAGAATAGGGGTTTGTTTTGGGACACTTATCTTTCTGGGTGCCTGACCCGGTCGATGGCAGACATGGAATGCTTTCAACCACACGGGGGTTTCTATAGGCCATTGCTCCTCATGCCTCTTCTGAGGGGGCCAGGTTCTGGCTTGTGGTCCCTGGTAGGCCCACAGAACTATACACATAACTGATGCCAAAGTCTGACATTAGCACATCAGCCTGGATAAGCTCCGGGGAGCCTCTGGTCTCGCCCAGAAAATGGCGTTTATTACATTCAACGCTGGGTTTTTTCATTCTTATCTAGAAGTACTTTTCATGCAGATTTTTGCATCATCTGCAAAGGATGATGTAAAGCTATAACTTGCATGTACTGTGTTTTTATAATGTATATCTGATATAAGAATGATAAATGTTGTATAGGAAATATCCTGGGTATCTTTCTGTTCATTCATTTCTGTTTTCTGCATCTACATTCTATTCCTCCATGAGTTTCTGTCCATTCTTTACCAACTGCACTCTTCACCCCAGAGAGAGAAGAATCTTGAGTTTTATAAAGACAAAAAAATTAGTTAGGTTTTGTTGTAATGTACATTTAGTAGCACCCAGCTAGGGTAATGCTCAAGAGTAGCATGTTGACTCAAAATGCATTTTGTTTATAGTCAGTGTTGTAGGTAGTTCGTAAGCAAATTTTCATGTACAAGACCTTTCTATTCTAGTTCATATGATTTCATTTATTCATTACTTTTAACATTTTTAATAAATACTGTGTAATTATTTTAATAATTTTAATAAATACTAAATAAATAAAATATCACTGAGGAAGAAAGCCTTAAATGATTTCTGTCACTTACATTAATTAATTCTTCAGGTTGGTGAAACAAATGGCGCTCCATCGTCAGGAGAGTTCGAGCTGTGCTGGGACAGTGGAGACGTCTCGCCACCTTACGTTTGGAGTTTTTCTGAATTCCTTGATCAATATAATGAGCTGTATGAATGGCTTATACAAGTTCAACTGAAGTTATATTCACATTCAAACCCACCAGACAAAGCAGCAAGGATGGTGAGGATTTTATAGCAGATCTATAGGGAAACATTAAAAAAATTTGGAACGAGCAGCTGTTGTAATGTCTGTATATAGTATATTTTTTGTTGTTGTATGGACATAGAAGTAGCTTTTTATGGCTTTTCTCACAGGAGACTAACATCCTGCCTTCTTCACTAGTTTTGTATTTTGTGCATAAATAAATTTTTTGCAATCAATTCTGCATTGTACTGTAGTCTAATATTTTTCTACTCTTCAGTCAGAATTATATTAATTACAGGCAGTATCCTTTCTCATATTTCCACTTTGCTAACTTTGGTTTTCTTAATACAAATTAGAAATATAGTAATTAATGCTATAGGTATATAGAGTACAGCTAAAGTATATATATAAAGCATACAGTAAGTCACAATAATGTGACTGAAAACTAAACACCCAGCACACAGATTTGAAAATAAAGAAAGTGACAATGTTTTGGTCTGTCCTGGACCATTGTCGTGTAAATTGAAATATTCATAGATTTTACTTTTAGATTTGTGAAATAGGTGTCTAAAGCACAGAACTGTATTCTATATATACTGTACTTTGCATTTCATATTTTTGAAGGAAAACATTCTTATATATGTGGAAAGTAAATTTCTAGTAACATTTTATTTCAAATACAGTATTATTCTGTGGGGGAGCCCCTTTGACTCCCTGGAGCTATCGGGCTAATATGCAATTCATTAGATCAGGGCATTGGTCATAGGAGTTCAGCCTACCGGAAACCACGAGCCAGAACCTGGCCCCCTCAGAGAGAGGGCGGAAACCACGAGCCAGAACCTGGCCCCCTCAGAGAGGGGGCCAGGTTCCAGTTTGTCTGGCCATTCCAGACAAACTGGAATGGCTGGGTTGTGGGTGTAGGAGTGTGTGTCAGGGGCTCTGGGGAGGGGGCGGGGAGGCCACGCGAATGATTGGCACAGCAGTGGGGTGTCATATTTGCTTGTTTGCTTGGGATTGGGGGGAGTTCTGCCTCTGTTTGAGTTTTGGTTGCAATTTTCTTACCATGTGCAGTCTGTTTAGTTATGCCCTCCTTTCTGGTTGCCTAACCTAGGTCAATGGCAGATAAGGAAAACCCCCAACCACAGGGGGGTTTTCCAGGGACATTTCAACCTGTGCCACTCTGAGGGGGGCCAGGTTCTAGCTTATGGTCCCTGGTAGGCTGAACGCCTATGACTAATGCCCTGGTGTAATGAATTGCATATTAGCCCGATAGCTCCAGGGGAGCCTCCGGGGCTCACCCAGAAAATGGCATTTCATTACATTCAATGTGGGTTTTTTGTTTAATCTATGGCAAAATTTTAAACACAAGTATTTAAAATAGGCATTTTGATAAGTACTCAAGTCACTTAGCAGATATTACAAACAGGATAAAACAAAGTCCAGTTAATTTCTTCAGATTTACTTTCACTATGCAGCACACATACAAAGGTTGAAACAAGACTAACTTTCATATCCCTCATAGTAATGATTATAATTAATTTAGCTTCATATATATTTTATCATGAATTTCAATTTACTCCTTAATTCTGCAAACTGGAGAAAACACAAAGTGCTGACAATAATGTAGAGAAACGCCAAGATAAAGTTACAATAGGCTTTATTTGTAAATAATATTTTAAAAAGGCTTTAAATCAGATTTTATCAGATTCTATAAAGATGTTACAAGTGAAACATTATATACATATTAAGTCTACTCTCACCCCCGTTTTTTTAGTAAAAGGATTTACATTGTCGAGGAAAGGGAGCCTTTTAGGGTTATCATGGTTCCCCGAGGACAATAATACAACCTTCAATAGTTGCCTAAGTCTAGGATATCTATTCACTGGTCGGTGAACACAGGCCTCGGATGAAAGGAAATGAGCCAAAACATATCTGTACTGCCATGGAAATCAAACCCGGGTCTTTTGATTGTGAATAGACCAAGAATATAAAGATATCAGCTCATTCCAATTTGTATATAGTTAAAAATCACATTCAATATTAGAAATGCTTGTTTTATAATTTAGGAATATTCCTTGGTGGGTGGATGTGGTAAAGCCACTACCACGTGCCCTGTGTGATGTATCTGTATGAGACATTCTGTTCACTCGGCAACTGAGAGGGTACAAAAGAAAACTTAAACCACTGCATGATGATGCCTTGTAAACCGGCAGTTATATATGCTGTAGCTCCAAAAAAATTAGTGTTGTTTCTACTCACTTGGAAATAGAGGAATGCTGAAAAGAAAGTAAAACCACTTTGATATGAAAGCTAATTTAAATTTGCATAATATTTAATCACTGTGATATATCACTGCATATTACATATATCAGCCCATTCTAGCTCATGTCATGCATTCAATTTATTCAGATTAAAATTTGTGTGTAAACCTAATGAATCTCCCAACTTAAAAAAAAATTATTCTACTTGGTTGAACTTAGTCAGTAATAGCATACTATCTTGACATAGGTATTTCCTCAGTTTTATCAAGTTTCTCATGCTGGTGTTCCTTGCATTTAAATATAAATACATTCATTGTGAGGACAGGATAATATGTATGATGTATATATGTACAGAATACAGATACTAGTTATATATAGGTACTGTTATTAGACAATTATCAGTTTTTGTCTGTCTGTTCTGATATTCATGTTAGATTTGTGGATCGAAATGCATCTTTAACCTTTTATGTTTTTGTCTTCACTTTGCATGTACACACTATCAGGATGAGGCTAACGAGTATTGCATATAACTGTTGATCATTAGTTTTGTATATTACTAACTTTCCAAACTAGAAAACCTGTTTTACTTCTTAATTACATACAGATTACATGTTTTAATAAGGACTATTAAACAAATTATTTAATTATATATACTGTACTTGTCAGCTGATTCTTATTATATGGGAAAAGATTTTACATCAAGAACAAATAGTCAAGTGATACTGAACCGCAGTACTGTATATTTAATTTTGTATACAATTTAAAAACAAACTGTACTCATATTGTTGCTATGTTAATGAAAGGATTTTCAGTAATTCGGTAGTCTTTCAGATAAATAATTGCCTAGATAAGGGGAGATCTGTCAGTTGTGCATTTTAAGTTTTCATGTGATCATGGTAGTCAGAAATCACTATTGTAATTATAAAATTGTTTCCATATTCAAAATTAAAGACAGATTTTGGCATTCTCCTTCTATTGATCGCAGTAGAGTAATGTAAAACTGCACTTAGAACTACAATTTACATTTTGAGCCGAGACCCCTCAGATGCTCCTGAAGTTAAAGCAGTCATGTCTTGATAGGAGTCGTATTCCCTGCTAGGCACGGAGATGGGGGGGTTGCTCACAATTTGTGGTAGCAGGGTTAGTTAGTTCATTAATTTATTATGCATCCCATACCCATCCTGTGGGGTAGCTAGGTTTCTTGACCAATAGTTAGTGATCATTATAATACCTACCAAGGGATGTTGAGGGGTAAGGCTATTGTTTTATCTGGTAATGAGATGATTCCTTGGCAGTTGCTTGAGTTTTTGCCACAATTTTACTATTTTCTTAGCAAGGCTATTTACAGACTTGTCACTGTGAGGGACAAGGTCAACGAGAGCCTAGTAGAGTTTGAGTCATAGGTGGACCATAAAAGCTCTGGCTTAGGTCGCTTCCAAGAGAGCCAGTTCACAAGGTGATATTTCATAATACTTGTCGCTCAATTTTTTTTTTTACTGTAGAAACTTTTATCTTTTTTTTCTTTTTTTTTTTTTTTTAATTTTCTAGGTCCAGCAGGAGGAGTTACGTCGTCGTACTTATCGTCGGAAATTATTCGTTGAACAAGGCGAACGTGTAGCCCAGAGATATCCAGGTTCAGCAGAAGAAATCAGCTGGAGAGTTAATTATTTGAACAACAAATGGGACCAGTTGGAGAGTTCTTTGACTCCTGCAAAGGGCCGGAATCAGGAGGTCGAGGTTGAATTAGGTACAGTATGTTCTTGTTACCTTTTTTGAAATTACTTGTTGGTTTCTGAAATATTTTTTCACTGAATATGCAACATTGTAAGGATTAAGTGTAAATATTTTCAGTGTTATTTAATTCACTTCGGCTTTGCGATAACGTTATTGCAGTCCTTAAATCAATACACATATACGGGAGAAAATGTTAACACTGTCCACAGTTAAAATATTTGTAAAACTTAAATTTATTTTCAGATTATTTGAGACTTGTTTTAAAATGCATGCTATTATATTGCCAACAATATGATACTTAAATGAATGTCATACCACAGAAAATAAAGTCAAAACTGGAAAGAGTATAAACCTTTGAGTGTGGCAGTGCTGGCCAATAATGGCCGACCATTATCAAAATAAAAAAAAAATAACCGAAACGCCATTTATAATCCAATTATTATTAAATTTGTTTTAACGTACGCGCTATTCTATTGCCAACAATATCATATTAAAATGAACAATGTAGCACAAAAATTAAGGTCAGAAAACTGGAAAGAGTATAAACATTAAAGTGACAGAGCGCTGATGGGCAACGCCTCGCCGACTTTGACCTTTGTTGGACGGTGCGATTGCGTGCCAAGGCAAACTTGGTGGTGTGCCGGGCCAGAACTGCCACAGCCAAAGTGTTATTTTATGCCTACTTTTTGCATAAAGTATGCATACTTGCATACTTTATGCAAAAAATCAACAATGCATAATTAAATCATTTCTTTTTGATATCTAAAAATATACTTACATATGGTTCTGTCATGTATAGTGCTACAACATTTGGTCATTTCAATTAATAACAATTGCAATTTGTTCCCAATGAAAATGTTGAAAAATAAAGTGGAACACAAGGCACTCCTGAGCATTACTGTGAATGCAGCAGGCCAACACTGCAAAAAGACTTTTTTTTTTTATACTGTTATCCTATTTCTGAAGAAGCTAAACAGTGGCTCCATGTTGCTAGCTGTACTGAGATAGCTCCACAAATATATATCACATTCAGTCCTCGGAGTCTTTAATAGCCTCTAAGAGACCAGAAGCCAAAACCTGGCTTTCCCTTGATCATTGAGCATCTCAATCACCTTCAGTGGTTAAGTGTTTAATAACACACTAGCTTTTATAGCAGACACACAAATGTGTATATGTATACAGAATATGTGGAAGCTGGTCAGAATTACATTTCACCTTTGAAAATGCACATTAATGACAATAATTATTGACATTAATAATGTAAGAGATACCATGAACACTGTTTATGTAGGAAAGACGTAAGTCTGTGTATTTATGCATATAGGTTAGATTAGCATTTTAAAAGCAGTTCAATCACCTTCTGTGGTCGATTGTTCAATGAATCACTGAACTATATGTTTAACAGAAATCTAACTCTGTCTATGGATGACAGAAGAAAATGTATATATGCTGGATAGCATTGTAAAATATAACAAAACTGACATGTCAGTTCGACCAGGAGCTGCCAGCTTCCTATGTCATCATTTCTCGGTCCGTCGTCTGATGTCTAATTATTTTGACTTCTTCTCGAGTCACTGGCCTTTCGGGTCCCTTTTTCTTTTGGGTCACTATTTCTAGATAAGTGTTGGCCATCCATTTGATTCTATCCTATGGGGACCCATTTGCTTGTATATTGTTCCATGATTTAGCATTAGCTTCACATGCATGAGTTTACAAGCTTCACTTGTTGAACTTTGTAAACTGTTCATTTTGAGATACCAGAGGGCCAGGTCCTAAATCTACACACTAAAATAACAACATACTGGAGTGAACGATATGGAAGAAAATGCAAAATAGATAGTGAAGAGCAGGGGTGCCATAGGCACAATCAGAGAACACTGTATAAACATCAGAGGTCCGCGGTTGTTCAACATCCTCCCAGCGAGTATAAGAAATATTGCCGGAACAACCGTGGAATTCTTCAAGAGAAAACTAGAAAGTTTTCTTCAAGAAGTGCCGGACCAACTGAGCTGTGGTGGTATAAGGTTTCTAAATAAACTGCCTTTATCTACCCTATCAATTCCTCTGATAATCTTGTATGTGGTAATCATGTTTTTCCCAATTCTTCTGTCTGTGGTACATTGATAGGATTTATTTGTATCAGGTTTGCTGTAGCCTTTATTTGCTGATAATAATTTTAACGTAATCTGCAAAAGACGATACAGTACTAGAGTCTTCATTTATATTGAATGTAGGCAGGAGCAATAGTGTTGGAGCATTTGCAATTTCCTGGGAAACAGAAATTTTATAGTGAAGGATGTAGGTTTTATTTTACTGCTTACTGTATTTAAGTTGTATTAGGAATTTGAAAATACATCTTCCTCTTTTGCCTGTTACTTCATTTGGGTGCTTTTTTAAATGTGCTTTTACATCCGAATGCTAAATACAGGCATTACACACCTACATAATGATATAATGCAACACATAAGTAATGGCTTGAATCACATTTATATTTTTAATAAATTTATCTTAGTTTCTTTATCTCAAATAAATTGGTGTTATGGTTTTCACAGTATGGAAAAAGTTTTTAACAAGTAGATAATATGCGAGACATGCCTTGGCTCATTTCATAATGTTAGGAGGCACAGTCAGAGACTGGGCTACCGGAGCAGTGATTCCCGAGTCACCTTGTGATAAAAAAATAACAGATACTGGCTCGATTACTTCTTTTGAATTACTGTGTTTGTTTATATGTCTACTATCTGTCTAATCTTTGCATTCATGTGCATTTATTTCACTCTAAATGTATTTTCTCAGATTTGGCTCATGAGGAAGGTATCCTGAAGCGATGGTTGAGTGACATGGAAGATCAGATCCAACCTTTGACGTGTCGTCTGCCTCGTGGGTGTTCCCTCCTTACTCTTCAGGATCGTTACAAAGATAATCAGGTGAGTACCCAGTTTAGATCTTGCAAGAAACTTTATTTATTAGTAATAGTATAACTTCAAATCCAGGGATCCCATCACAATGGTTGTGCTCTTCAAATCACTTGTGCTGTCCCATCTTGAGTACTGCTCAGTACTCACTTCCCCATTCAGAGTAGGAGAGACTGCTGAAATAGAGGGAGTACAGAGAACATATATGGGATACATAAACGAGATAAAACATCTAAATTATTGGAATCATCTCAAAACTCTCCGAATGTACTCGCTAGAAAGACGACAGGAGAGATATCAAATAATATACATGTGGAAAATACTGGAGGGCCAGGTCCCAAATCTGCACAGTAAAATAACAACATACTAGAGTGAATGATATGGAAGAAAATGCAGAATAGAACCAGTGATTGTGCCATAGGCACAATTAGAGAGGACTGTATAAACATCAGAGGTCCACGGTTATTCAACATACTCCCAGCGAGCATAAGAAATATTGCCAGAACAACGGTGGACATCTTCAAGAGGAAAATAGTTTCCTCCAAGGAGTGCTGGACCAACAGAGCTGCGGTGGGTATGTGGGCCTGCGGGTTACTGCAAGCAACATCCTGGTGGACCAAACTCTCAAGTCAAGCCTGGTCTCGGGCCGGGCTTGGGGAGTAGAAGAACTCCCAGAACCCCATTAACTGGGTATCGGCCAACTTAAATTGGAATACAGTATAATATTCTTGTGTGTGTTGGGGTGAGGTGGGATGCCAAAAACTTTTAATCATTTTGTCTCCACATGAGCAATGATCTCCTTTAGTTGTTGAGTATCATTGCTACCTCATTCAGAACAGCCTCTTGTGTGGGACTTTTGATAAAGTTTTTTATAGATCCAGATAGATACAGTCAACCCAACCACCTCTTTCCCGTAGTATCAGAATAGGGGTTTGTTTTGGGGCGCTTACCTTTCTGGGTGCCTGACCCGGTCGATGGCAGACATAGAATGCTTCCAACCACCGCATAAGGAAGGCGGAGAGGAGGGAGGAGGGGGGGGGCGAAGAGATGTTAGTGTTTCGAAGGGGAGTCCCCTTCCATTATAACATCAGGCAGTGATGACTTTTCTGGGGGTACTCTCTCTCCTATGTTTTGCAGCCATACCACTAGGACTTGGTTGTGGCTCTCTGCTTGTTTTTCTCACCAAGAACCTTTCCATGGAGACTTGTTTTTCCTACGTCTTAACACATGTCTGTAGTGAGGCATCACAGTGTCATTAAAAAGGATAAGGCAACGGCCTACTTGAGGCTTGATTTGGGAGAGTCGTTTCAGCAAAACTTTGCAGGTCTTCCCATGCTGAACACATTTTCTTAATTAATGAGGAAGGGACATTCCATACTGCTCCTTCCCTGAAGAAATTTCCTCGTCTGTCTCTTGTTGCTGCTCCTTGTGAAGGGCTAGGAGTTCTTCGGAAAAAAACAAAAAAAATTCTTTACAAAGAATTCAAGCTCGATCGTCACTAGGCTACCTTCTTGAGATGGTTATCTTGAGATGATTTCGGGGCTTAGGGTCCCCGCGGCCTGATCCTAGACCAGGCCTCCTTTTTTGTTACACCCCCCCCAGGAAGCAGCCCGTAGCAGCAGTCTAACTCCCAGGTACCTATTAACTGCTAGGTGAACAGGTACATCAGGGGTGAAAGAAACTTTTGCACATTTGTTTCTGCTTTCACCAGGGATCGAACCTAGAACCTCTGGACTATGAATCCGAAGTGCTGTCCACTCAGCTGTCAGGCCCATTCAGGCAGGAGACACTGGTAAACTGAAGCATTTGTTAACTATTGACACTGAAAAATTTCTTTCTAATGTCTAATGTCTCTGTGGCTCATTTGGATACTAGGTTTCCACCTGTGTCCCCTTGGTCTGTGTTCCACCCATACTAAATACAGTAGTTTGTCTTTGTCCACTCTGTCAATTCCCCTGAGAATTTTGTAGGTGGTTATCATGTCTCCTTACTCTTCTGTCTTCTAGTGATGTGAGGTGTAGCTCCTGTAGCCTTTCCTCTGAACTCATACCTCTCAGGTCTAGGACTAGTCTGGTGGCACACCTCTGAATCTTCTCTAACTTTGTCTTGTGCTTAACTAGGTATGGACTCCAGGCTGGGGCTGCATACTCTAGGATTGGTCTAACATAAGTGGTATAAAAGGTCTTAAACCATTCCTTACTCCAGTTTCTAAAGGCAGTTCTTATGTTGGCCAACCTAGCATATGCTGCTGATGATATCCTTTTGATGTGGGCCTCTGGGAACAGGTTTGGTGTGATATCAACTCCCAGATCTTTCTCTCTATTTGACTCTTGCAGGATTTCACCTCCCAGATGGTACCTTGTGTTCAGCCTTCTGCTCACTTCAGCTAATTTCATTACTTGACACTTTCCGGAGTTGAACTTGAGCAGCCATTTTCTAGACCATTCCTCCAGTTTAGAAGTTAACATGTGCTCTGTGTGTGTGTGCGCATGTGTGTGTATTGGGGTGTATGTGTGGGTGGGGTGTGTGCATGCACACAGTGTCTTACTGCAGGCTCAGATAGGCGAATACAGGTGGGTACAGAAGACGACTTCTGACTCCTGTTAACAGGCCAAGATCCTTTCTCGTAGCTCATTGTAAGCCTTACCTTGCTAGTTTTCCCTGCAACAAGACCTGCCAATTGGTTGATGACCAGGGTGAACAGTTATGAGTTCCCAGTCAATTCTGTGGTAAGGACGTGAGACCAGACAAAATCACTGTCTCTTCCTTTCATATACTCCTTTCTTTCCCTGTTCTATGCTTCCCTGAAAAGTATTTCTCCTTACTATTTCCGTTATTATATTCCTCTCCTAACTCCTTATGCTTTGTCCACCTTGTTCCTATGTTCAGCCAGCTTCCTCCATCGTGCACTGACCCACAGTGCTCACCAGTGCCATATCCCTCTTCCCCACATGGTAAGTACCACCCCATTATGTTTACTTATACATAATGCTCTTTTCCATGTAATGTTTCAAGACGCAATCATTCTCCATCCCACATATCCAGTGCTTCTTGACCACTTTGCCAGCAGTTCCCTTTTACATGCTCTCAGCCCCCCTGGCCCCCCCATCGTCCTATCCAACAACTATTGCTATTCTTACCATTTCCCACCCACCCCATTCTTTTATCCTCTCTCCCCACCCACTGTCTTTCCTTACTCTCTTTTATATGCTCTTTTTGTTTTTTCCTTGCCCATTCTTCCATCTACCCCTTTACCATGCACATTTTCTCTCCCTGTCCCTTATTTTCTCATCCACCTACCTACTTCCCTCACTCTCACCCTCCTGCCTACTCTCATCCCTTATTCTCTCCCACCTTCTCCTATCTCAACTTGCATTGCTTCCATGCATAAATCATTAGTGCATTTCAACTATGACTAGCAGAGAATTACTAATAGGCAAAATTACCATCAAGGTATTACCATATATACTCTCTGGGTAATTAGTTTGTGCACATGTTTGGTATACTGTACAGTACTGTAGTTTAAAGTGTGAGGCTCGACTATAACAAGAGTGTTTGGCATGAGTATTTAACATTGGGGGTGCAGCTTGTGGGGTTGTAATGTGGATGTGCAGCTTTGGGGTTTAGCATCGGTGTATACAGTAGTATGGTGTAGTATAGGGTGTATAGCACAAGAGATGCAGTGCATGGGTGTATATCATAGGAGAGCATAGGAGTATGTATAGCATTGAGGATACTGCATAGAAATGAATATAGTTTAGGTGTGTTGCTTTGAGCTGTGACTTAAACTTTTATCATGGTGTTTATTATGAGAGTGAAGCATGGCTGTGTATTGTATAGATGTAGCTTTGGAGAAGTGCAGCATGGAGGGGAGAGTATTGTTACGTGGTGTGCATTGCATAAGAAGTAGTGTTTTCTGTTGTGTAGCACCACAGTGTAGTAGGAATATTGTTAGAAGATATACTGCTAGCTGGTGTAGGGCGAGTGTGAGGAGGAGGGGAGAAGCTCTCACATGGACACTTGCTTAATATGTGGGAACATTGATTGAATATTGATGTGTTGATGCACATACTTAGAAAGTTGAATAGCAAACGGCCGTAGATAGCACCATCATCCTCAGGTAGTCTGCACTCTATCCATGCACAGATGACAGTTGAACAATTAAGCAGTCTGTATGATGATGCCCACATGTGCATCGCTCATCTGAGATAATGTCCAAATTTATATGCACGACAAATTGCCTCGAGTACTACTGCGGTGTATGAAGTATCCCCCAGGTCACAGTTGCTCTGGTGGGTCTATCTGTTGCCACTTGTAAAGGTCTTCTTGATGTACATTCTTTATTATATTTAGGGGAGAGGATATGGAGGAATATGTAGAGAAGCATTTAGCCCAGATGAGGCTGCTTGAGTCCATATGAGCATGGGAGAGAGGTAACTGCAGCACAGTAAGTTGGTAACAGGGGTTTTAAAATGTAAAAAGTTATGGAGGCGCACTGAATTAAATTTGATAAGTCATTATTCATATATATATGTGTGTGTGTGTGTGTGTGTGTGTGTGTGTGTGTGTGTGTGTGTGTGTGTGTGTGTGTGTGTGTGTGTGTGTGTGTGTGTGTGTGTACGCGTGTGTGTGTACGCGTGTGTGTGTGTGTGTACGCGTGTGTGTGTGTGTGTGTGTGTGTGTGTGTGTGTGTGTGTGTGTGTGTGTGTGTGTGTGTGTGTACGCGTGTGTGTACGCGTGTGTGTGTGTGTGTGTGTGTGTGTGTGTGTGTGTGTGTGTGTGTGTGTGTGTGTGTGTGTGTGTGTGTGTGTGTGTGTGTGTGTGTGTGTGTGTGTGTGTGTGTGCGCGTGCGCGCGCGCGTGTACGCGTGTGTGTGTGTACGCGTGTGTGTGCGTGTGCGCGCCCGCCCGCGTGTGCGTGCGTGTGCGCTCACCTAGTTGTGCTTGCAAGGGTTGAGCTCTGGCTCTTTGGTCCTGCCTCTCAACTGTAAACCAAGTGGTGTACAGATTCCT